TAAGGTACTATTTTATTAGTACTAATTACTCTCTTTTATTCTGTATATATCTTATTGTTTTACATGTTACTTTTCTGATTAGCTATCGATCTTTGAAGACTAACGTTTTCATATCTCGAGATTTTATAATCTGTTGAATTTATTTTCTACATGATGGAACATTCTTGGCAGATTGTGCAGATGATATTGGTGATATTTCCCTCGACTTGATCCTTATTTCTTTTTTTGCCTCAATAATCTTTAGCTTCAAGGCTTTGTCTACGTTTTTGTCTATTGGTTTTTACTTTTTTAGACGAGTAAAACCTGCGTTTGCAATAAACAACGCTTTATCGTCTACGTGTGCTGATCGCGTTTCGCAAAGGCCATATGAAAAAGTGGGTAATTTTTGTATCATGTTTTTATTTCTAAATTCTTCGTGGACTTGTATACTTATTTTATAATTCTATTATTTTATTATTACTCTTCTCTCTGAAATTGTCACTTTATTTTCTCCTCTGTTTTCGTTGCTCAAATAGTTTAACTGTTATAGCTTTCCTTCTTAATCATTACTCTCTTATCTGATTAAATATCTTGAACATCGAATTATCTCCACTTTTGCTTTGTTATTCTGGTTTGTCCCCGTTTAAAAAATTTCCCTCTTGATGCCTTATCCACTATTTAAATATCTTCCCTACATTATTTCACCGTACTCCGTTTCATTATTTCTTTCATCTCATTGGTCTCTACATTGTCCTATCTCATCTTTTAGGCACTAATCAGTGCTCTTCCTCTTTTATTTTATATTTGACTTAGAATGACATTTCTATTTGTCTATCTTTTTGGTTCGCTTTTTCGTGCTCTATTATCAATCATATTTGCCGATTTATTCCATACTTTTACAATCATCTTTTCATATAACTGTTCTCGCTTCTCCCCTCACATGCATCAGCCTCAGCATAATATTTTTATTTAAAGACAGGCAGACGCGCGAAGTAAGAATAGGGCGTTTTAACAGACAGATTTCTCTTTTTTACACCTATCATATTACTTCCATAGACCAAAAGTAGACTGCGACCAAAATAGAGGCTTCAACGCCTTGGTCTTCATATCTATGATTCATTTTTATAATTTACATAATCCCATCAGCTTGATAACCCTTTCTCTTAGTCGAGTCAAGTAAACATTTCTGCTGCAAACTCAGCTCAATTGTCATCCTTTGAGATTAGTCGACATGCCCTATATGCCAGAATGCGTTAGTTAATGCAGTATGCAGCCTGCTGGGGTTGATTACTAAAACACTGATTGTATTTGCCAACTAGGGGTGATTTAAACTCATTTTTGTTCCCCGAAGGCATATTTTTAAATTAATTTCCTTAGTGGATTCTTTTTTCGATTTGAAATCGTATACCAACTAGCCTCCATTTTGCATCTTTGCACTCCATATCATAATCTACTTATAATTTTTACTCCGTCAAAGCATCATGCAAAGTATCTTTAGTGACAAATTTTTTGCTCAATGATGCTTATTCACTTGCCAATCTATGACTCGTTTTTATACCATATCGATACTATAGAGGAGACTATTTCCATAGTTTTAAATATAATCTTTTCTTTTTTGTATTATCCGGTTTAATCTCACACCTTACCTTACCTTACCCTTATTAGGTTGGTCAGATTTTGGCATCTGGCTCGGATGCAGATGAGAACAGCTTAGATTCAGACATCCCCCAGAACCAAAATTACAGGCCGCGTCAGCAGCAGAAGTACCAGACACAACTCCAGTTTCAGCATCAGCTCCATCAACATTGTGTTTGTAGCTGTCCTTCTGCCAGTCAGCCAACATCAGACGCTTTAAGGCGCGGCTATGACGTTTGCATCAACTGTACTGCTGATGAAAGATCGGCTATTCGCGAGGTGGCCGGCATTAGCTTAGGAAAAGAAGAGATTGGGACAGAAGATAGTCCAGATAAAGATGGTGAAGATGAAGAGGAGGAAGATGCAGAGGATGAAGAATATGATGAAGAAAATGAAGAGAATGTGGACGAAGGACATGCAGAGTCAAGACGAAGGAGGGATACCGGATTTGGACTGCCTGATCAGGCTGGAATTGGCCACTCTCCAGACTCTGGTGCACATTATAGCCCTTTTGTGACTGGAGCTTTGACTGGAGATAATGTCACTGCTGACTCTTCTTTGACCTCTATGCCTCTCCAACTGCCTTTTAGCCTGGTGGGTGTTAGCGGA